AATTAGTCCCTCATCAGCACTGGAGCAATGTCAACATGAAGACAACCAGGTACGTATTCACGATCTCTCCACAGTCCTGATCTTCCTCTTCCTCTCGCAATCAGTCACCTCATGTAGATAGCGTGGACAACCCCACGTCAGCAATCAAGACAGGTGGCGAAATGCCACATCATCAATGAAGACCAATATCAGCGCCATGTAGACCAGAAACAGCGCCAAATAGCACAGAGGCAGCACCACATCAGCATGCCACGTAGACCATGGCCTGCGCCACATATACCAGAGGCAGCGCCACATCAGCATGCCACTTAGACCATGGGCGGCGCCACATATACCAGAGGCAGCGCCACATCAGCATGCCACGTCAGCAAGACTGCCGTACAATGCCAGCCCACTGCCTCCCTCGTGCCGTCGTCCGCAGCGCCGATGCACAGCCAGCGTCCAGCCGGCGTCGTGCTAGCAAAATGCCAGCGTCTAGTCAAAGTCAAGCCAGCGTTGAATCAGCATAGCAAGAGTGAATGTTGACCACCTCTAGGCCAGACTTTAAGTAGTGTTTGACGAGGCTCTCTGGCCTCGGGTCTCCTCCCCTCAGTCGTCCAGATTGAGTTACAGCCGAAGGCCTGGATTGTACAGTTGCAGCATTTCCCCTTGGACTTGATGCTGTCTGGGTACCTGCATACAAACAAGTGTGTGTGCTTGACCGGCGGCCTGGACTGGGTACCTTTGGACTTTGACTGTTGGGTTCGCGACAGTTAACAGAAGTCAACTGTGTCCCTGTGTGGGGTCCCTTACCTCGTTTTTGGCCTGGCTGAGGGCGGCCAGGTCGGCCCTCAGATTTCCACGAGACATATGGCATGGGTTATTGCATTCCTGTCGTCCCAGTTTTCGAGTTCCATCGCAGAAAATACAACAATTTTATCCTAACCCACGTTCATATGCAGCAACAATGTTAGGAGCAGTAGGTAGGAGTTCTTTCCGACTAAACCATTTGGCTTCAGATGGAGGTTGAGACTTGAACTTCACCTTGTACTGCTTCTGCGGTCGTCCTCTGCCACCTGTAGAGAAATAGCCATGCTCCAGTATTTTCTCAACTTCATAGCCTCCATTCATAGAAGATGGGAACATGGATGGCCTATTAGGAAAGTTGTCACTTTCTACATAGGGCAGCAGTTTAGACGCGTGAAAGACAGGGTATGTCTGCAGGTGTGGAGGTATGTGAATACGATAGGACGGTCCGTCTGCATCTCCAATCACCTTGAGAACTTCCCAGGGTCCAAAGTAGACAGGTAGCAGTTTCTGAGATACATTCTCTTCTAAGGAAAACTCTTTAGACTTAACCCAAACAAAATCTCCCTCTTGAAACTGTGAAGATCGGCGATGCTTATTAGCCTGTTCAATCATTTGTAGTTCGGCCTTTTGAATGTTTTCATTTACCTTCTTAATGTCCTCTTCGTATAAAACTGCAAACTCACGTGTACCCGGGGGTAGACTCTGAATCTGGTCTCTGGTCAGGGCATCAATGGGGCGTCGAGGCTTCCAACCCTTATGTAGTGCATTCAGTGTTCTACCTGTAACAGTATGTACGCTGTTGTTATAGGCACTAGCAATTTTGGGTAAGTTCTCATCCCAATCGATCTGATCAGGTCGGATATACATTCGCAAAAGTCGTTGGCATAAACGATTCATTTGCTCAGTTTGACCATTGGTTTCAGGGTGTCTGCCTGACGACATGGTCAACCTGGTGCTATAGACTTCCATAACTTCTGCCATTGGAGACTAGTGAACCGAAGATCTCTGTCAGAGACAATGGTTTTCGAAAATCCATACCCAGAAACCCATCGCATCTGAAACTTTTGAATCACTAGTTCGGTTCTCGGTTCAGTAGGCAAAGGAATGAACATAGCATACTTAGAGAATCTATCGACGATAACCATTACTTGACTGTTGCCGTTTCGACTCTTAGTGAGGCTCATGAAGTCAATGGAAATAGACTCACTTGGCTCACTTGGAATAGGCAGTGGTCTCAATAGTCCCATCGGATTTTCATGTGAGGGCTTGTTCCTCTGACAGACAAGACAAACCCGCACATAGGTTAATACATCTCCCTTTATTCCTTTCCATTCAAATCTTTCTCGGACATCGACATACATCTTCTTGAAACCAAAGTGTCCTTCTGCATCATGACATTCCCCAATGATTAAACTTTTAATTGTTTCGTGGTGAGGAACACACAGTCGTTCTTCAGTTTTATCTAGCAAGAAGAGTAAGTCATCAATCATTCGATATTCAGGAAATAGTTCAAGGTTTTTTCTCAAAGTCCCAATGATAGGACTCAAGATAGGATCATTTTCATAACCTTTACTTATCTGTTCCTTCAGTTCATTCCCAATATCGAAATAGGACACTATTGTTCCAAAGAAGTCTGCACGCTTGGACAAAGCATCCGCAACCATGTTAGACTTTCCTTTGATGGTTTTCACCTCAAAGTCAAACGTATCAAGGAATGCGGACCATCTTACCAACTTGTCAGAGAGTCTAGGCTGAGTCTTGATCCACTTCAAAGTAGAGTGATCAGAGTAGACAGTGAAATGYCTTCCCAACAAGTAGTGTTTCCAGGTATCTAGTGCAGCGACTAAGGCGTACAACTCCCTTTCATATGTGGAGTTGGCGACTTTCTCTGACGGAAGTCTTCTGGACATAAACTCAATAGGTCTATATCCCTTACCGTCATCTTGCTGTAGCACAACGCCAATCCCATACTGACTTGCATCAGTTGTGACGATGAAAGGAAGAGAAGGGTCAACAATCTTTAAGACAAGGTAATGAGTCAAAAAATATTTCAATTTTCTGAACGACGACTCACAATCTTCTCATAGGAACAATCCTCTGGGAGCATCAGTCTCATAACCTTGTTCTGGGGAGCATCAGTCTCAAAACAGAAAATTCTGAACGACGTCTCAGTCTCATATAAACAATCATAAGGAGAAGTTTCTGACGAACTTCCTATAATAACTAGCAAGTTTTAGGAAAGATCTGAGTTCAGTTATAGTTTTAGGTTGTGGCCAATCTCGGATTGCTATAATCTTCTTTTCTTCTGGTCTTAGTCCTTCTTCATTCACTATATGCCCTAAGTATAGCACTTCAGACTTAGCAAATTCAGACTTATTAGGATTCAGTTTGAAGTTACCCTCACGTAACTTCTGGAGAACCATTCGCAGATATTTCTCGTGGTCTTCCAGTGTTTTACTGTACACTAGGATATCATCGAGATAGACAATTACGAATTGATCCAACCATGGACGAAACATCTCATTCATAGACCTCTGGAAGGTTGCAGGGGCGTTAGTAAGACCAAAAGGCATTACCACAAACTCGTAGTGACCATACCTTGATCGAAACGTCATCTTATGTTGATCTTCAGGAGCCACCTAAATCCGGTGGTACCCTGACTTGAGATCAATCTTGCTGAAGTACCTGCATCCCTGTAGTTGGTCTAGCAAATCGTCAATGCGTGGAAGAGGTTCCGTATTTTTCACAGTGACATAATTCAGCCCACGATAATCAATACACAAACAAAGTTCACCCTCATTTTTGGGCACAAACAAGACAGGTGCACCATAAGGAGATGAGCTCGGACGAATCCATCCCTTGTCAGTAAGTTCCTGCAGTTGTTTCCGTAATTCCTCAAGTTCCTTGGGAGACATGCGATAAATGGAACCCTTGGGAATTTTGCTTCCGGGAATGATCTCGATTGTGTGCTTAATAGCACGCTCAATGATTCCCGTCGGCGCAGTCTGCAAGTCCTTATACTCGTCAAGAAGTTTTTCAATAGAAGGTGGGTGGGATGAAGAACACTCACCTACTTGTTTAACAAGCACCGTCATCACCTCCTGATCTAACTTTTTTTTAACAACCATTGATCGAAAAGTTGGATAACTCATACAACAAAAAGACAGAGTAGAGTCAGAGTCAGACTTATGATACAACTTTATCACACGTAGTTCAGGCTTTTCGTCCTTGAGTTTGACAATCTTATCTCTTAACTTAACTTCTGGGTCGGCTTCCTCATGCCAATTCATACCCAGAATTAAGTCAAAGGGTAAATTTTTTTCTATCATGAAGGATACCTCGTGTAAAATCTTCTTACCTTCCTTGGTTCTGAAATAACACTTAACACGATCGACGTATTGAGAGACAGTGATCGTGCTCTTATCAGCCAGTATAGACGTAATAGGTCTAATCTTTTACCTTCATTCCCAGATGCAACTTTCGAATTGCCTTCTCTGAGATATAACACCGCGTCGATCCCGGATCAATCTCAACATCTTAACTCACCCTTAGATTTTGCTTTCTTCGCCCACGAACTCCTTAATGCTATTAGTTCATTACCGAGTTCGTCAAGGGAATCGTCCAACAAAACAGAACAAAGGACTGTGTCAGGGTGGTCTGGACGACGGGCGAAAAAAGAGCCATCCTCTGCCTTAAGAGTCGAAGGGATAGAAAGGGCTGTAGGCGCCTTACCTTTGTCTTCGTCTAATCCCTTCAACTCAATACCAGCAGATGCTACTCCTACTGGCTGCTCGCTTTTGGGTTACGGATAAGTGGGCACCAGGCTATCACATGCCCCACGGTGCCACACTTGAGGCATTGGCGGTTTTCCATCTTGGACTGCCATTCCTCCCGAGTCATGTTCATCTTTTCCCAAAGTCTCCCGAATGCGATGTCGGGATGCTCGGGAAACGAGTGTAGCCTCTTCTTCTTCGTCCATTGGTTTTGGCCTCCCCTGTTGGCCAATACGGCAGTGACATCACCCTTCTCAGATTCACTGCCGTTGTTACCTCTTCCTCCCTCAGTCTCACAAAGAGGTAACTTCTCTACTGTTTCATCGTCAAATAACACAAGCATATGGTCCTGGCGCTTTTGCCGCCAGAGGACCCGCTCGCCGTACCCACCAACTGGTCTCGTCTTGACTACTGAAGCGTTCGTACCTTTGACCTGTATGGTCATTTGCTCTCTCTTAAGAGCAAGGTTACGAAACTGCCGATTATTATACTTACTAGACTTTGCTTCGGCCACGAGCTGTCCATGAATGGGCTCGGGCAATGCACGTGAGTAGATGTAAAGAACCTGGTTGTCCTGAAGGTTCAGTCCAGGTACCTGCAAGAGATGATCCACTTCACGAGACAAGGCATCGACAAAAGTCCAACGTTTCTGGCCTATCGTGGTGAGCTCGTCGAAGGCCTTATCGGCCGTTGTCTTATCCAGGAACCTCTCCTTAATCTTCTGAAGAAATTGCCTGAGAGTAAGGGTCTTGGCCCACTCACCAATATCTTTGAAGCCAACAGCATTGACCTCTGCCAACACCCATTCTTTGCCCACTCCTCCCAGACAAGACTTGGAGAAAGCAACCTAACTCTCGGGTTCCACAGGTGCCGTACTACAATAAGTCTGGATCTCGGCAATCTACAACAACAAGTTTTCCTCTTTCTTGTTGTTGTAGGTGAAAGACAACTTCATTTTCACGTTTTCTTTCTTCTTGGGTTTTTTCGTTTTCTTTACCGGTTCTTCTTTCTTTTCGGTGGGTGTTTCCTTCCTCTCATCCGGCTTCTCGGGTTCTTTCTTAGAACCTTCGGCTTTCTCGGGCGTAACCCGTTTCATTGCATCCTTCATTAACTTTTCTCGGGGTTCTTTCTTATCTTCTTCCCCCTTGGCCACCTCCTCATACACCACCTTATCTTTCCCTTTCATCATTCTTGTCATGGACTCAATTGCGGTGGTGTTGTGGTCAATCTTCTTTTCAAGATGTATGAGGTAGACCATGATAGACTGGAGAATAGATGCAACTTCGCTTCCTGCTTCTTCGTAATGGAATTTTTCCCTCAACATTTTCATCACTCTTTCCTCCTCCTCTTGCTGTTCTTTCAGTCTCCGATATTCTTCAACTTTTTTTCTCTCTTCTTTCAATGTGTTCTCTAATTGTCTGATATTTTCCTCCATCACATCCATAGACAATTGCAGTTCTCTTCGTTCAACCATTTCTTTTTTCTTTCCTGTTCTTCCTTGCTGGTCTAATTTTTCAAAGCTCTCGGCGACGTACCGACCAAGGACCAGCCGTCCTTGTCTTATGAGGTTTTCTACCCTCTTGCCTGTCTCCATCATCTAAACAGCGGTTTCAGCGGCCTGTAGGTCTCCCTCTGCATCACACAGATTGACCTGTCCGTGAACATGTTGTTCAGCCTCCGGACGGGCACCATGTATTTCACCGAGCAGCTGGTGGAGGAGACCCAACAGAGTCTGTCTCCTTCCATCAATCTGACCGCGAGTTTTCACTTCCACTCCCTCTTCATCGGCAAAGACTGTGAGATGGATGGGAAAGAAGAAGAGCGGTATGAACCGGGTCAAGATAGAGGCACGCAAACACTTCCAAAGAGAGTTCATTCTGCCAAGCATGCAAATGCCGCACAATAAATTCCACGACGCACGCTACACTTATAGCAAGAATTGTTGAAGGCAAATACAAAGAAACAGATATTATCAATTTTCTAATACTATTTTGTTGTCTGATTTCCCTAATCTATGTGTGATGACGTTCTACCGTATATGTACAGGTACCGCAGCCAGGGCCAGTGTGATCAAGACTTCAGCACACAGGTGAGTATGCACGGACACCACAGAACAGCCAACAGGTAAGTAAGAAACCAACACGACAATCACAAACAATTGTGAGCCTCCTGTCTCTATAGCTGTACTGTCTGCAGCGACCAACACACTAGACAACTCACCCAACGCATGCCACGTGTCACCCCTGGCATGCCAACACAGCAGCCCGTTTGAGTCCGGAGGTATACAAGGGGGATGCCACATCAATAATGTGCGTCTGTCGCACGCATACACTGGCATACCATGTCAATGGCCAATCAGCAGGTAATCACAACATAGATACGTGCCACGACAGACCATATCCTGCCAAGAAACAATGTGCCACATCAGCGGTACGAATGCCACATTGCCAACGCAGCTCTTCAAGCTTCATAGCCTTGTCATCATCTTCAAGGGACGGTTGCTCGCGAGTGCACTACTACCATGTCTAGACTTGCGGTATGACCATGCCCGTTAATAAACGCGTTTCATACTGCACATGCGGCACCTCCCACTTACCTGGGTGCCAAGTCAGCACCTGACAGCAGACAGCAGATCGCGATGAAGAGATGCTCCGATACCAAATTGCAATGAACCCAGATCGTGAAGACAAATGTCAACAATGCAAGTCCAGATGCAACAACTGATGATTACCAATAATCAAGATCGTGTTCAGACAGAATAAGGCGAGAGAATCATACTGAGATGAAGGAGAGAGGAGGGAGGTTAGACGAAGGAGAGGAAGAAAATACAATGCCCACTCCTGCTTCGGGCTTCCTCCTCCAACACCACTTCAATAATCAACAGTCTGAACGAGTAACTGAAGTAACCTCAATGTGCCATGTGGCACGTCTAATTAGTCCCT